AATGAATGTTCAAGACAGGAGATAGGTTGCCCATCAAGCAGGATGCTTTGTGATAGGTGGTGTCAACTTTCTTTTGTGCTGTCAGATCCTCACTTATCCAGGCAGTTATTCTATAAAGTTTCTAATTCGTGCCTTGTTGGCGTTGGGAAGTCAGATGGCAAATTTCTCACTGCATGAGTTTCAACTTCTGACTTGCATTATATAAATGACTGGTCCAGTCAAATTTATGCTCAGGGCAATCTCAAGGGATTCAGCCTCAAGTGGAAGTGGTTAGATTCTCTCTTGTTGAAAGCAATTATTGTGCAGTACAAACATTACTTGCCATTAATCAGCCCTGGCCTAAATGTTGTTCAGGTCCTGCTGCAAGTCAGGGCATAGACTTCTTCCTCATGTGAGGAGTTGCAAATGGCACTGAGCATTATACAATCATCAATATACCATTTCCACCTCTGACTGAACAACAGACTCGGGGTCTTAATTAAACAGCTGAAATCAGATGCTTCTGGGACACTACCCTGAGGAAGATTTGCAGTTATGTCCTGGGCCTGAGGTGATTAGGTTCCAACAACTGTAACCATTTTTTCCTTGTGTGGGTATGACCAGTGGAGAGTTTTATTCCTGATTCTCATTGCCAAGACTCCTTGATGTCAAAGTCATATGCTATCTTGATGTCAATTTTGACGTCTTTCATTTCACATCTTGAATTCAACTCTTTTTGTCTATGTTTGTACATCTCTAGGGACACCTGAATATAAGCGCACTTGCTGCAGATAAATACATCAAGTTATGAATAGCAAAATAAATGTTACCCCATCACCACTTCCAAAATGTTTACATTTTCTTAAGAAATTCTAGAGGACTTTATCGTTAAAACTGGAAATCTCTACAGCTCAGCCAATTACTTAACACATAATGGGTTGGTATAAAACAATTTCAAAAGTCCCATACAATTTGTTACAGCATATTGACTTTGTGCATGGTCCTATTAGTTAAGCATAATTAGCCACTTCAAGCTAAGTGGTTGTGTGTCAGATTGAAAATACATCATAGGAATTCAAACTTGCTAGATCCACTAACTACAAAGATGGCTCTTTTCTGAATGCTTTGAATGAAGAATTGCATATTTCTTATAATTAAAAGCAATAAAGCTTGTTATGAGACTCCCTGGATTGTAGTATTTGGCTAGATTGACATTTGAAACATCTGGCTAATGTATCAAACACCGTAGGTAATAATAGTTAGTTGATGCAGTGCTGAGCTTTCTTGACATTATTATTGCTTACATGATCCATTTCACCATCAGCAATGACCTTCAACTCAGACAAAAGATATGGTACCAATGCAAATTGGCACTCCTATATACCCATATGTAATGGGATACCATACAATAGACAGACTGGAGAATAAAACCCAAAAAAACAGATTTTCTTTCCATTTCTTACTCTCGTCTCATGCAATCTCATGCTTAGATGATCTAACATCGTAATGTAAAAACAAAGGCAATTATGGGGGAATGAGACAACACAGTGTGGAGCTGGAGGAACACAGCAGGCCAGGCAGCATCAGAGGGGCAGGAAGGTTGA